CTTGATTCTCTCCTTGATTCTCTCCTTGAGGTAGCTTGACTCCCTCTTCTTTGTGGCAGCCCCTGAGATATTGGAACACTGCTATCATATCTCCCCTAGTCCTTCTTTTCATTAGACTAGACATACCCAGTTCCTGCAACCGTTCTTCATATGTTTTAGTCTCCAGTATTTGATAGTAACCAGTAGAATCAAGTTAAAATTTTACATAATATCACTACTGTGGGATAATAGTTTCTGTGAGGATAACTGGATTAGGATGTGCAGTTTTTTTTTATTGTAGTATAATTGTGTGCCCCATAAATCCACTGAACCAACCACTAAATTTTCAAGTAGGAAATGAAAGTTTGAAGACTTCCTTTAACTTCCCATCTCTGCAACAGTTTCCTTTTTTTTTTGGCTTTGTGTTTGCAGTTAGTGATTTGCCACCAAATTTTGTTTGATTCTGGTCCAGAATTCTTCCTAAACTAAGGTTGTTAACATAACTGGGCTTTAAATCAGCTAACTCCCTTTTTCAGTCTTAAGCAAATGTTTTTGTGTTTTCATGTCAGATTGATCCCAGAACACCTCTGAAGCTGCAGCTGACTTGATTCCCAAGCACCTTTGAACATCTCCATTCTGTATTATTCCAAACTAATAAATAAAGTATTTAACAATGTTTTAATTACTATATGTTGGTTTTTTTTTTAGCTTTTGTGACATATGGAATGACTGTAATGACTTTTCAGTTGACAATCATTGACAATCATTAATGGAAAATGTTATATAGCAGATAATTATATGTAGTTCTTTTGATTTGATCGATGGTTTAGAATAGAATGAGGAAATTAGGGGCATCATGATTCTAACTACCCACATACAGATAGTCCTCAACTTACAACCATTCATTTGGCAACCATTCAAACTTAACAATGGCACTGAAAAAACCTTCTTTGTGCTTATGACAATCACAACCTCCCCATGGTCTTGTGATCAACATTTGCATACTTGGCAACCAGCATGTATCTATGATAGTGTCCCAAGGTCATGTGATCGCCATTTGCAATCTTCTCAGTTGATCTCTCTGAAAAACAAAGTTCTATTCTAAACTATCGATCAAATCAAATTTACCACACTTTTCTTGCTTGGAACTCTGTGTATAAATGCAGTGTTTAATCATCAGCAAAAATCATCATGCATTTTTGGTCTAAAATATCATGACTGCTTTGGTGAGAGCTGTGATAGATACTGATATGGAGCTTTTTAGAAATCCCTCAATCAACATTCCTGATCAAAAACAAGCTCTGTTGAAATGATGCTGTGTGCACCCTCATATCTCTAGATTCAAGTCATAAGCCTGGCCCTATGGCTCTTTAAGGGAAATTGTCAGTATGCATTTTGAAAAAAGCAGCTTTTTCATCACCCAGCTTGTTACCCATGATTGTTGCAGCCTGCTTGAAAAATAGTTTGGAATACTAGTCAGTACTATAATTCCACCTCCTGAATTACCTACTGCACAGGGAAATTGCATTTGTCTGTCTGCCTGCCAGTATGCTATGGATCCTTCTGTAGAAGAGAGCTCACTCAAGGTCCTCTAAGTGCAGCTCCGCACTAATTCACTGTGCAGAAAGAACCCCAAGTCATGTTTTCCCTGCTAAATCAAGTTCTCTTCCTTGTTCCTTTTGGAAGTTTTAGGTCTCATTTGCAAATTTACCTGTGTAGAAACCAACACAATAAACTATTTTTTTATTGACTCAAAGACAAGATTGTCAAAAAACTAAGTACTTCCTGAAAATCACACACCCCGGCTCCAAGAGGGTACACCACACCTCTATGATTTTAGTCTTCCTGTTGCCTGGTTCTGTTGTGAAACTAACTTGTTCGTTTGGTTCCTAACAAGATTAATTGTGCAGAGGAATTAGGGCTAATTAAAACCTCATTTTTCTTATAGCTGCTGCCAATGTCCTTTTGAAGGCTGGCATCGCCTCCAAAATCTGATGTGGTTTATTGCACTTCCGTGTCCTTGTGAGCTTTTCCTTATCTTTAAATTTACAAATTTACAGTTTTAAAGGTGTGGCAATGCACAAATCTGGATCTCATACCCAGATTAGTAAAGCTCATTACTGGAATAAATGGGGGAACAGTCTTTCTGATCCTGATGAGAAGAATGTTGCTGTTATTTACAAATTATTTTCTTACAATGGGTCAAAGAAAAGTGTTTTCCTCTCTAGCTTCACCCTGGTGAGAATACAGGTAGGTCTCAGTGCAATTAACGAACCCCACAAAATGATCACATTATTCAAATTTCCACTATTCAAAGTGATATTTCTATGGAAAATATGATAATGGATTTCAGCTCGATTGAAATAGGTAATAAAAAATTTAGACATAATTTCTATGTGTATATTAATGAAATATTGCCAGAAAGGATAAAAAGAATATACTTACTTCAATTTATGTTAACCAAAATTATAATGTATTTCTAGAAAGCAAAATATCAATCCTATAAATAAGCTAACAGTGATGAAAATATCTCAAATCTTGTAGATGTTTGCAAACCCCAAAAAGCAGATGCAACTTTTTCTTTAATTCTCTCTGCTTTTTAAAAAATTCATACTATGCATGGTAAATTTAGACCAGGGGTCAGCAACCTGAGGCTCTGGAGCCGCATGTGCCTCTTTCATCCCTCTGCTGCGGCTCCCTGTTGCTTGTTGGCTCCACAATTGATAGGGCTTTCCGTTAGGACAGGTAGAGTAAAAAGGATGCCGTGCTAGGAGGAGACTCTCTGGTGGGAGAACCAGACTTCCAGTGGGCTTCAGAATTGAACAGGGGGCTTCCGGTTCAATCCAGTGGGCTTCAGAATTGAACAGGGGGCTTCCAGTTAGGATCTTTGTGGCTCTTTGAGTGTTTAAGGTTGCCGACCCCTGATTTAGACATTCCAAAATCTCATCCTATTTTAGCATTGCTATAACATTGTTCCTATCATTCAGTTAAATGAAAATGTTGCTCTACTATAGTAATGACTTCTTTTTTTAGCTTTACTGTTTTCCTCTGATAGAATCTTCCCTTTATTTTACACACAGATAAAGATGAACAGTATCTAAAACTGCAATTGCACATGTGCTATTTCAA